ATCCACTATCAAGGTACCATGAGTTTGAACTTGTTTCTCATGCATTGTAGCAATGCTCATTTTCCTACAAACATATATTAATTTTTATTTTTGGTACCCAATTTCTTTTGGGTCCATATTCATTAGTTTCTAAAATTCTAGTCCCCTTGGGTATCCATTTGTGTAGGATATCCTTATCTTTAGTAGTAATGAGTTCTTTAGGAACCCATATACTTTTAACTATTTTTCCATTTGAGGTTCTTCGGGAACCTCTATGATTGTAGTTTTTAAAATGTTTTTTTAACAAAGTTGGATTTTGAATTTTCTCATTTTTCAAAATGATTTGTTCTAATTTTATTAAAAGAAGCTTTAAGATCATCAATTTTCTTTTGATGATCATCGTTGACTCTTGAAAGTAAGTTTTGCAAATTAGTATTTTTCTTTTGAAATTCATCTAATTTGATTTGCAATTCTTTAATCTTACTTTCAAGATCGTTGTTGGTTTTGGACATAAGACTACTTTCATTTCTCAATTTTGAAATATCTTTTTTGTATTTTGAAAATAAAGTCTTATAATCCGAAGCCAACCCATTATAATCCTCTAATAACCCATCATAAGATAAACCATCTGAATCAAATGAGTTAAAGGTTGTCTGAGAGTTTTCCCCGATGGCCATCAAGCACAAGTTTGCTACTTCTTGTTCCTCTTCATCGAAACCTTCCTCATCGCTCCATGTAGCCATATAAGCCTTGTGCTTCTTCTTGGATTGACAATTTTTCTTCAATTACGGGCAATCGTATTTGACATGACCCGAATCACTCTAATCTCTTATGGATTTGACATAGAAAATAATAGGGTCTTTCTCCTTTGGTTCATTTTTTAAGCCTTCGTTACGTTTGAATTTTATTCCTCGGTTGGGCCTCATTAATTTTTCTAAACCGTTTAACAAAAAATTCCATTTCCTCGTCATCGTCATCTTCATCCGAATCACTCTAATCTCTTATGGATTTGAGAGTAACTCTCACGTTCTTCTTTTTCTCATTCTCCTTCTCTTTGTCTCGTCAATCTTCTCGAGGTCTACCTCATCTTGAAGCATCATTTCATTAGTGAGGAGAGAACCAATTAACTCTCGAGAGTTAAAGACTTTAAGTTTTTAGCCTCGATGATTTCCGTCTTCTTTGATTGCCAAGATTTTGGAAGAGAGTAAACTAACTTCCTCACAAGCTTTTCGTTTGGAATAATCTCTCGATAAGATTTGAGACCACTGACAATCATGAAAAATCTATCCGTCATAGCTTTGATATCTTCATCCGGTTTCATCCTTAAATTTTCATTGCTATGAGTTAGAAGACTAATTTTAGATTCTTTTACCTCTTCTATGCCTTTATGAGTGACTTAAAGTTTATCCCATATCTCCTTGGAGGTTGTACAAGATGAAATTCTTCCGTATTCATCCGGTCCAAGAGCAAAAAAAATAATATGGATAGCCTTTGAGTTGAGCTGGAATATTCTTGTCTCTGTTTCACACCACAATCTTGAATGAGTGGAAGAAATGAAGTATCCGTCTTCTATGATATTTCATGCTCCCATATCACTTGCTTGAATGAAATATCTCATTCTATTCTTTCAATAAGCATAATTAGCTCCATTGAAGAAAAGAGGCTTGTTGACGGGCATAGAATCAAGACCGAAGTCAGAGTTTGAAGTGGAGGCCATTGATGACTTGAATATCGATATAACTCTTCCTGAATCTACTCAAGAGGCGATTAAACCTTCAAATGAGTGAGGCTATGATACCAATTGTTGAGTTAATCGATCGACGAAATAGACAAGAGGGGTTGAATTCGCAATAAAAAGTTTGGTGGAAGCTTTTGCAGAAAATTGAAAATATTTGCACAACAATTTAGAGAGAGTGGTTCGACTTTCTCAACCAAAGTCTACGTCCACTACCTTAGCTATCTACACCAAGGATTTTCCATAAATTCACTAATTTGACTTTCTTTTGAGGAAAAAGAGTAACCTTACAAATCCCTCAAGAATTATACCCCAAATTCTTGATAACACTCTCTCCCAAAGAGAACAATACAAATTTCACAAACATACAGAAAAACCTCACAAGGCAAGATGTTTGCACAATTCTAAAACAAAGAAAAAACACTCAATAATAATACAATTGAGTACAATAAGTGTTCTTGAAAGCAAAAATGAATATTGAATGAAAATAGGCTTGAATTGCTCAAACTTGAGGTTTGATGCTTTCTCTTTGATTCTCTAGCTTCTCTCCTTAATTGTTGTTGATCAATGGCTCCTAAGCTTGTTTAAATACACCTTGAATCACTTATAAACGTTGGGGATCATTGGTAAAGTCAATAGAGTCGTTAATGTGTGAAAATAATTAAATAAAACAGTTGGGAGCGTGGGGGTATCGGTACCTCTCCATAGGGTATCGGTGCCTATAGTGTAAAATTCAAATATTTCTACCATTAATTGACTAGGGGTATCAGTACCTCCAGGGGGTATCGGTACCCATAGAGCATTTTATTTTTCTCGGAGCCAAAGCTTGCATAGGGGTATTGGTACCCTATAAGGGGGTATCGATACCCTCTGGGCATTCTAGTTTTTCTTGAAATCCTTTTATAAAGAAAATATTTTGACTCGATTAAGGCTCGAAATACTTTATAAAATTTGTTTCAAAAAATATTTTAAGATTAAAACACAATTTTACACTTAAGTAAGGATTGAATTTTACACTTAAGTAAGGATTGAATTTGACATTTGAAAAACTTGGAGTAATATTTTGATATTCGAATAATTTAATCAAATATATAATTTAATATAAAATCTAAAAATTCATTAATACTTAATTTGTTATATCGAAACATCAAAATGTTTTCAACAGGTTGTAATTGGATCCAATTAGCCATAAAAAGAGGATTTTTTAATAGTAGAAAATCGAGGAAGGATCAATTGTCCAATTTCACTTTTTTAAAGGATAAAAGCTTTTATATCTTTCATTTCATCCCATTCTCTTCATTTTTTCATTCCTTCTCATTTTCTTCTCCCATTTTCCTCTCCTAGTTCCATAGCTCAAAGTAAGTTATTGAGCCTATTTCATACTTCAATTTCATTCCTAATGCCTCCATCAACATCATTTTAATGAATCGAAGCCTTGGGTTCTTTCTAGCTAAAGAAAAAGTAGGGTTTTCATCCAAATCAAAAAAGAAAGGAGTGTGGCTAAGCAAGGAGCTTCATTCGAGATTAAACATCAGTGTAGTGTATTTCTAATCCTTTGGAGTGTTAAGGCTTTCATAAATGTGAAAATTGCTAAGATTTGTGTAGTTGAGTATTTTACGGTTTAAATTTGATTTCATAATTAAATAACGTTTTAGATGTAAAAAGGTGTTTTTATGTCACTTTAAGACCCCAAGTAACATTATAAAGGTTTAACACATGTTTAAGAACTAAATTAAGATATTTGGGATACTTTTGGGTGTTTTCTAAGCCTAAACAAGACATTTCTAGGTTCGAGTATCGGTACTGGATGAATAATATCGATACTAGATGAATTGGGATGAAAATTAGAGATTTCCAACAGGGAGCATCGATACTTCCCCAACAATATTGATACTCAGGGTATACAATATCGATATTGCTCCATATTTTCAATAATAGAAGCCCTTTTTGGTACTGATACTCACAGGGGTATCGATACTTGACCCTAGGGTATCGATACTACAAGTAGAATATCGATACTACTCACTTTGGATTGTTATATTAGACCCATTTAAGGCCTGTAAGAGTCAAGGATGATTCGTAATGGTGGAACTTAGTCTGTGGGGGACATAAATGGCCAAAGGGACCCATAGACACTCGTAGGAGTGGGTTACAACCAGAGTAACCATAGTAGGCGTAATACGTCCAAGTATCTTCAGTTGAACACGTAGCAAGTATCTGATAAAGAAGTATCATTGCAGAGGATGTACCAGTAAGCAGTATGATGAAATAATCAAATTTTAAAAATAATATAATCGTGTATTGCAAGAATGATAGAGAATGATGGACGTATAATTGTCCCTTTAATTCGAGTGTAAATTGAGGGAAATAGTGGTAAGATCGAATATAGTATCGATACCCCTAGTCAGGTATTAGGCTAGCAAGTATCACAACCAGTGAACAGTAAACATAATAATAGTCGTAAAATCACGAAACACTTAGAGACTCCTCTAGAGACAGAGAACGACTAAAACACCCTTAAGTAATGAATGAGAAGAATAGAGCCACTTAAAAAACTAACATAAGTAATAGACTAATAAACCTTCACATAGCGTTCTAGATGAGAGAACGAACAAGATAGAGGCTAGTGAGGGGTTGACCTTACTTTAGTGTGTCGAGCTACACTAGTGTGTAGTTAGGTTACCATAGTTTCCTTAGTGGGGTATTTTCAGTGTGTGAGGCACTTCAAGGGCTAACTAGGTTGCGAGGACAGAACATTCACGAAGAGTAGGTTAGCGATATCAGTGTTGTATGACCTTTGGGCCCTTAGATATGCATGTATAATTGCATCAGTCCAGTACAACAGATATTTTTAAAGCTTGGCTTGACGGCTATGTGAGACTGAGCCAATGCTTTAGTTGAGTGGGAATTGTACCGATGCTATGTGACACCGGATTCCTCCTCCATGATCTACCTGATGGTTATGTGAGGATCAGGAGATTATTCAGCAGCTTAGTGGAAATTTCACCAATGCTATGTAATACTGGGTTACCTCAGTTAACTAGTGTTGATGGCTATGTGAAACCAGATACTAGTATTGCTGCATTTAGATAATGCACGTGAGTGTCAGTGTCACATTTAGATAATGCGTAGTAGTTACAATTATTAGGGTTAAATACTCTTTAGTGGTGTACTCACCGGTGAGGCCCTTAGCAGAGGATTAAGGGAAGCATGAGACTCCTATTTCAGTGATAGAACAATTAAATCCTAAGTATGTAACATCCTAAATATCAGGTTAGTGACCAACATGTAAGAATTCAAAATTTAGTGGTTTAATTGAAATAACTTGAAAAGTTCAAGGATTTATTTTTGAAATTTTTTTAAGACTTGATATCAAAGTTGGACTATTAGAAGGGCATTATGGTCTTTTCAAAGGAAGTATTTTTATCTTCCCTTTTAAGGGATATAAAACACGTGGAAGAGAAGGGAAAAGTCTGGAAAATTTATCTTCTTCATCCTTGCCCGTGGAAACCATTTCAAAGGTGAGTAAGATTTAGTTGATGATTTCTTGAAATTTTTGGTTTGGTTGTGGTATTTGAGTAATATATAAACTTAAGGAAAGCTTAAGGTTGATTAAAACTAAGAAATTAACGATTTATCAATGGATTAGTAAAATGAGTTTTTATGTGAAGTTATGAAATATGGTCAGTAAGTGGATTCTAATTGCATATTTGACTTGTCAAGGGTTAAATTAAAGTGTTTGAAGTATTAGAAATGATTTAGAACATGATTGAAATTAAGGTATGATTTTTAGTCTCAAGTGTTTTAGTGGGATTTTGGATGGTTAAGAGTGTTAAAGTAGTTGGTTTGATAAGAGTAGTTGATTTAAAAGGCATGAAAGGAGATAAAAGTAGGAGATTTAGGTAAGTTTTGGTTAAATTTCGAAATAAAAATGGTAATTTCTGGGCAAAGAGTATCGGTACTGGAAGAACAGTACCGATACTTCAAGGAAAAATCAGTTTGAGTTCAAGGATCGGTATCGATACTGATTGAGGGAGGTACCGATACTGAAAGGGGAGTATCGATACCAAGAGTAAGGTATCGATACCATTATCAGGTTTGAAATTCCAAAATGCCGAAATGGTATCGGTACCGAAGTGGGTATCGATACCATAGAAGGGAAGTATCAATACTGTAGTGGGAGTACCAATACTAATACGCCTGAAATGATAAACTAAGTGTTTCTTTCAGGTTAAGTTATTATGTGTGGTTATAAGCGATATGAGTTGTGATATTCATTTTCGATTGTTCTTGTGTAGACACCAATCAAAGAAAAGTTACAGACACTTCGACGTTATAAGTTATCGATCAAAAGTGATAAGGATTCGTTTAGGACTTCAGTGAGGCAAAGTGAGTGCAACTCATTTGTTTATATTCAATTCGAGGGCGGCTTGTGATAAGCCAACCTCAGAGTTTTCGATCGAAAACCTTTGAATTTCTTTTATGTTATATTTTTACAATGTTTTATTCAAGTTCTATTATTTAAGCTATGTTTGATGATTATGTGTACATGATTATGAAAACATGACATCTGAATACGAAAATACTCGATGTGAAAGTGTCTATATGAACAAGATATTCTTTGAATAATGAAATGATAAATAATTATATGGTCAAAAGCCCATGGAATTTGTATGATGATTAGAGGTATAGTTGGCATGCCAAGAGTCGAGGTTCTATGTGGTCATTCGGGACAATTATGTGGCACTTCGTTGCAAATTATGCGAGCTGTGGTGACAACATTAGTGCACAACCTCAATGTACTAAAATACCTACAGTTCTCAGTAATATACATTGGGTCTTTAAAAACAAAGTTATATGAACCGAACAATGAATAAAAGAATATATTCTTGTTATGAAAAGCAATTTGAATCCCTTATGAAATGTTTTATGGCATGAATAAGAATTTTTTTATAATGTTTTATGTGACTCGTAATTGCCTCACTAAGTCAACGGCTTAGCGTGTGAGTGTTTCATATGTAGGTTTGAAGAAACCAGATGATTAAGGTTAGGCTAGGACAACAAACTCCCGCAAAGATCAGATCAGAACAATTTAAATGTATGTTTCTTGTAAATTGTAAGCTGTTAGAATGTACTACAAGTTTAAATTGGAATGCTCTGATCTATTTTGTAAAATTATACTTTTGTATTTATGTAAATTATTAAGGTTTATTTAAGTATGAATGCAAGTTTCATTATTTACTTTTTTGCAAGGGTTCCGCCATTTTAATATGTATAAAAGTTTAAATTTTACCTCATTTTTTAAGAGTCAATATTTTCAAAAGTCGATGTGACACTTCGGATTCGTATCTGGGTCGGGTACGAGTTAGGGGTGTTACAAAATAAGTAGCACTTGATTAAGATCACACATGTACATACTGCTTAGTACAATGTCTCTATCATGCTTATGTTTACGAGACTCATAATGGTTCTCTAGATTAGCAATTATACTAATGGACTTTGTAAGCTCAACGTTCGGATTTTTGTCGTTCGTAGGTCAGTAGCTACAGCTGTTCGTGGAACTTTTTTGGTTTATTAATTGATTTTGTGTTAATGAAGATGAAGCTAAAAATATTTCAATAATTTACTATTAACTCAAAACATTTAGATAAACATCACGTTTAATCTGAGTATTTGATTCACTTTCATTGAAAATATTTAAGCTAGATTTATTTGTCTTATATTATATTTGTTTTATTGGTTGAAACCTCTTATTATTATTAGTTAAAGCATTCTGATATTGTATTTGACTTTGATTATGTTGTTATCTGAACAGAATAATGTCGTTGCATTTAATATGGAGTTACAAGAGTGGTTAGAGGCTTTTATTTGTATCACTCCTGCAATATCAAGTGCGATTGATCACCCAATACATAACATTTTCAAAATCATTGTCGGTAATCAACTGAACATCTCATTGAGAGTGTTGTTAACTTGTATCAACGAATTTCTCAAATAAACTTCTGAAATTATACAGCTGTTGTTAATTTAATTATACTTTTATGTCCGTAAGATTAACAAGCAAAACACTAATTGCTCAACCTCACCAGGCTTAAAATATTACATATATTTAAATTTTGTTATTTTTTATATTTTCTTTCAACTTTTTATTACATGAACCTTGACAATAAAAGTATGGTGCTGATGGTATTGACACTGGGCCTTGTATCTTTTTAACGTATTATTTTTGTTACTTACTTTTATAGTATTGAACTTGATTCTAATTGGTTCGAATTCAATTATAGACCAAATGATGATGACTAATCACTATCTCAAGTAGGGTTGTAAACGAGCCGAGTCGAGTTCGAGTATTGCTAAGCTCGACTCGACTCGAAAACTCGCGAGCTTAAAATTTTCAAGCTCGACTCCAACTCGAAATCCTGAACTGAAGCTCGTGAGCATCTCGAAAAGACTCGAAATGAAAAAAATCTTAAACTTAACTCGATTGAAGCCTCAAACTCAAACTCGAACATGAACATTAAATTCATGAAATCTTACTGTATTTTTTTAAAAAAATCAATACATAAATGTTAATATTATTAATAATTTATTTTAAAAAATAAAATCTTAATATATTATATTTTCGAGCTACTCACGAGCTTTTCGATTCGAATATCGAGTAGCTTGTTTCGGCTCGTTAAGAACTCAAGTCGAGCTCGAGCTCGAGTCCATTCAATCCGAGTATTTATCGAGCTTTGATCGAGTCGATCTCGAGTAGCTTGCGATCTGTCTCGTCTCATTTACGACCCTAATCTCAAGTATTCGGTTCTCAAAACAGAAAGGAAAAGACTGCGGCATGTACTATTAACAACATTGTTAGACTTTAAACACTCTAACTCATACGGAAGTTGTTGGACGATTGGATCAAGCTTGAATGTTATTGATTATTGATTATTTTTTATCACTATCAACCATGTATTTAACATTAAATGAAGCATTCAATTTATTAAAAAAACTTGAATTATTGATTATTTTTTGTCATATCGTTTTACAATATTATTTGAGGATGTTTATTTTTATATTCGAAATGAAGCTTATGTTAAATAGCAACAACTTGATTTTTCAGACTATATCAACATGATGTCACTGTATGTGATAGGACTCAAAAATTAAAAAAAAAATAGAAATATTAAAGAGATTTTTTTATATTCCTGATTTTAAACGTCTAAAAAAGATATTTTAACTTGTTACTAGAGTGACTTTTCTTTGTGGGACTAATGGGATTAGGGGCAAATTTATTCTTTGAATTGAATACTACTGTCCATTCATAAAAAAATAACATTTTGATGTAAAGATAAATGATTAAAAAGATATTACGAAATACATACCACATTTACTTAGTTAGCTGGAGAAAGGAGAAAAAATGTTTTATTAGGAAGTGAGTATAACAGAAAGTATACACAGGAAAGAATGACTTGTTATTCATCTCAGTTGGTGCATTACATTTATAAGAGAAGATTAAGCTCTCATTAGCTGCCAATAACCGTCTAAACAAACTAACACTCTTAGCTAATCAACCTAACAGACTAACTCCTCATGCATGTGTGCATTGATAACAGTCTAACATTCCCTCTACTTTCTCTTCCTCCTTCAACAAGGTAAGACACATCCTTCCGTTCGACTTGAATCGGAAGTGCCGATGCTTCCTTTCGTTCGACTTAAATCGGAAGTGCCGATGCTTCCTTCCGTTCGACTTGAATCGGAAGTGCCGATGCTTCCTTCCGTTCAACTTGAATCGGAAGTGCCGATGCTTCCCTCCGTTCGACTTGAATCGGAAGTGCCGATGCTTACAAATATTATTTGGATTGTGGTGATGGAGGCTGAACGTGGCTTACCATCGTACTATAATGTTCTGGGAGTCGAGATCGATGCTTCCATTCAAGACATCAAGCGTGCTTATCGAAAGCTTGCAATGCAATGGTATCTGGATAAGTGGACGAGCACTCCTTCTCTATTGAGTGAAGCCAAGCGTAAATTCCAGCAGATTCAAGAAGCTTATTCCGTTTTATCAGATCAGAGAAAGAAAACTCATTACGATGCTGGATTATTTGATCCCGATGATGAAGACGATCAGGGCTTGTCTGATTTTATGGCTGAAATGATCTCCCTTATGGCTCAAACAAGGGAAGAGGAGAAAGTTTGCAGCCTGGAGGAGCTGCAGAAAATGTTGTGCGATATGGCACAAGAATTTCACTCACCGTCGTGGTTATGTGGACCGTCATCTCTGCCGAGGCACCAACGCCTCAAGAAACCAAGT